GGGAAAGGGGGGGGGGGGGGGGGGGGGGGGGGGGGGGGGGGGGGTGCTCCCAGCCTCTGTAAAGCTACAACTCTGTGGCTACAAATAAGCCTCGCGCCCCCATCCTTGGTTTACTACAGTACTACACCGATACGTCCCTCGGTTTTATCTTCTAATATTTTATGTAACACGACGTACTGTACTATCTATTCTACGTTACCCTCTTCAATTAAAATTAGATGAAGTATAGCCATTGTAAGATTAATACTCACTCGAAAATGATGTGATTTATAATCGTTATTTTATCAATAAAAACACATTTTAAGATTACTAAAATATCCTGAAATATGAAACATGCTTAGAATATCTTTTCTTGATAAAAATATGATTACAAAACAAACAATTTTCGAGTTAACATTCATTTTATCGAAATTTTTTAAATATTTTGAAAAATCATTGTATCCAAGGCAGACCGCAGACCAATTAACAATCTTGAGCCGAATGATCAATGACATGGAGCCACGTTGATATTTTTTGTTTACAAATGGTAACAAACCATAATTAAAACCCTTGATTAAAACCATGGAAATTTATTTTATGCGTTGATTATTTGACGACAAGCTGTGTTCAGTATGAGGCTAGACATATTCATTATTTTATCGATATTTTGTTGTGTTTTGGGGGAGGATTTTTATGACATTTTGGGCATCGCCAGAGATGCTGATAATAAAGAGATTAGACGAGCTTTCAAAAAGCTTGCATTAAAACTACATCCGGATAAAAATAAGGTCAGTAATTAGCGGAATACTTGCTTTGTTTATACCTGACAATAGTGAAATCAGGATTATTGCATCTATATTTGTAAAACATGACCTCTGTTTGAACAGTCTGCCTAAGGCAAGGGGTTGAATATACTAGCTATACAGCCTATACTACATATGTACATTCTAGTAGGGGATGTATTCTGTAGTAGTTTGTTGCAAATTTAGGCGTCTAGTTTGATTTGTAAAGTATTCTATAATAGAAATGCAACCTGTTGTCAAAAATAAAATATTTTCAAAAATAAAATATTTTTGATTTTTAGCTCAGGGTTGCATGA